AGGGGAAAAGCAGGGAAAGTAGAGAAAAGTGGGAAAAACTGGGAAAAGTGGGAAAAACCAGGGAAAAAACGGGAAAATCAAGGGAAAAGGTAAAACAAAAAAAAACAGGAGAAAGTGGGAAAAGCTGGGAAAAAATCTGGGAAAAGCAGGAAAAAGTAGAAAAGTGGGAAAATTGGGAAAGACATGGAAAACTGGGAAAAACACAGGAAAAATGGGGGGAAAAGAGGGAAACACCAGGTGGGAAAATTGGGAAAAGCAGGGAAAAACCAGGGAAAAGCAGAGAAAAGAGGGAAAAACTGGGAATAGCAGGGAAAAACTGGGGAAAAAGGGGGGAAAGGATGGGAAAAAGCAGGAAAGCAAAGGAAAAGGCAGAAAAAAATGGGAGAAAGGGGGGAAAGCTGGGGAAAACAGGGAAAAGGTGGAAAAAAATGCAAAAAAGTGGGGAAAAAACAGGGAAAAAGAGGGAAAAAGCAGGTGGGAAAATTAGGAAAAAATTGGGACATAGTGGGGAAAAAAGTGGGGAAAAAGTTGGAAAAAAACAGGGGGAAAAAGAACAGAAGAAAAGAAGGGAAAAAGGGGAAAAAACCCAAAAGGAAATGTGGGGAAAAGTGGTGAAAAAAATGGGAAAAACCAGGGAAAAAGAGGGGAAAAACAGGTGGGAAAATGGGAAAAAAAAAGGGAAAATATGGGAGCAAGAGGGGAAAAACAGGGAAAAAATGAAAAAAATAGGTGGGAATATTGGGAAAAGCAGGGGAAAAAAAATGGGAAATGCAGAGGGAAAACTCCAGGAACAGCCACGATCAGATCCAGTGGAATTCCAGGATTTGGGAATTCTGGCAGCACGAGGGGAGGGAGGAATCCAGGATGGGAATTCCAGGATTTCCCCCCCTCTGGAAAAGCTGGAATGGGATCTCACCTCCTCCTGGTGGGAAGGAAGATCGGGAAGAGCCCGGCCGGGCACGGAGAGCCTGGAAAAATCCCAGAATTCTGAGCCTCAGGAAAAGTGGGAATGTGGAATTCCAGCCCCAAGATCCTGGGAATTCTCCATTCCTTTCAACTCCCCAGGTGTGGGATGTCCAGGAAAAGAATTCTCAAGGTTTTTCCAACTTACCCAAGTCCTTCTTTGGGCCAGAATCCTGGGAATCCGGGCTGGGAGAGGGAGGAATTCCAGGGGATTCCTGCAGAGGGAAAGGAGGGATTTCAGGGAAAACGGGAAAACCTGGAATGCTGGGGGATCACCAGAGGGATTGGGGGTTTTCCAAGGATTTTCCAGCAGTTTTTTCCAGGAGTTTTTCAGGAATTCTGGGTCTGCTCCAGCCCAGGGAGTGTCCAAGGAAAGCCTGGATCACCCTTTGGGATTTGGGAATGGGATGGAAAATTCATGGATCCCACACAGAGTATCCCAGAATTCCGGGATCCAGGACACTCAGGATCCATCCCCGAGGGATTTTTATGGAATTCAGGGATGGAAAAGGGAAGGGAGACCCTTCCTGGAGTCCTGGATTTCCAGGGAATTCCCTGGATCCCGAAATTCCTTCCCAGGGAAGGGCTGGAATTTAGGCCACGAGCCAGGAATGGCTGCCCTGACACTGGGAAGGAATTCCCAAGGAAAATCTGGGAATTTGGGAGCATTTGGCTCCAGCAGATCCCAAATTTCTCAGGCTGGGAGGAAGCAGAAAATCGGGAGAATGTGGAATTTGCTACAGGAAATCGGGAAAAATCCTTGGAATTCCCAAGGAATCCTCCAGGAATTCCCAAAGGAAAATCCCCCCAAAAATCCAAAGGAAAATTCCACAGGAATCCCCCAGGAAAATTCCAAAGGAAAAATCCCAAAGGAAATTCTCCCAAGAATCCCAATGGAAAAATCCCACAGGAATTCCCCAAAGGAAAATTCCAAAGGAAACTCCCAGGAATTCCAAAGGAAAAATCCCAAGAGTTCCCAAGGAATCCTCCAAGAAACCCCCAGGAATTCCCAAGGAAAATTCCCCAAGAATTCCCACAGGAATCTCCCAGGAAAATTCCAAAGGAAAAATCCCAAAGGAAATTCTCCCAAGAATTCCAATGGAAAAATCCCACAGGAATTCCCCAAAAAAAATCCCAAAGGGATCCCCAGAAATTCCCAAGGCAAATCCCTCACGGAATTCCCACTGTCCATCCCTCAGAACCCTTCCCCAAGGCCAAAATTCCCAAGAATTCCTTGGAATTCTGCACTCACCTCCTTCCCCTCAGAATTCCCGGTGCTTTTCCTGGGAATTTCCTCCTGTCCCTCATTCCCACATTCCCGGTTTTCCTTCTCCTCTTCCCGAGCTTTTCCCGAGTTTTCCTTCCCCTCCTCCAATCCCGACTTTTCCTCCTTTCCCGATTTTTCCGACGCCTTTTCCGGAAGATTCTTGGGATCGGCTCCGGGATCTGCCGAGGTTTTCCCGGAATTGGCTCCGGAGTTTCCGGGGTTTTTCCGGGATTTTTTCCGGCTCAGGAAAAAGGCGGAGCCCAGCGGGAGCCGCAGGGCCGGGCGCACCCCGGCGCTCAGCACCCGGAATTCCGGCCTCTTCTGGAGCAGGGAATTCTGGGAATTCCCGACGTTGGAATTCTGGGAATTCCCGACGTTCCCGACGTTGGAATTCCGGGAATTCCCGACGTTGAAATTCCCGACGCTTTTCCCCTTGGGAATCTCCTGCCGGGCCTTGGCGTTGGCTTTGCCTTTGGAGCTGCGATTCCTGCTGGGATTCCTGCTGGGATTCCCAGAATTCCTGCTGGGATTCCCAGAATTCTTGCCGGGATTCCCAGAATTCCCGCCGGGATTCCCAGAATTCCCATTTTTTCCCAGCACATTCCCATCCCCCAGCAGCTCCCGCAGCCGTTTCCTCTCCAGAGGATCCAGGTAAGTCCTTTTCCCATAAAAAGCCCCCACGGGAAGCTGGGAATTGTGGGATGCAGGTTGGGAATTCCCGGGAATTGCTGGATTTCCCTCTGGGATGTGGAGTCTCCGGGAAGGCGTGGATTTCCCGGGAAAAGTTTCCTTCTCCTGCTTTTCCTCCTCGGAGCTGGGAGACCACTGGATCTGGGAAGCCTGGAGCTTCCCCCGGGAATTCCAGCGGGAATTCTGGGATGGGGAGCCGGGAAAAGCTCGGAGCTGTTTGGACACCGGGGTCTGGAATTCCGAGCAGGAGCTGGGGGGGAAAAAAAAAAAAAAACAACAGGAATGAGGGATCAGATCCTGGAACAGGGACTGGCCCAGGAATTCCTGGATCCAGGGATTTGTGATTCCAAGGAACCCTGAATCCAAGAATTCCTGATTCCAGGAATCCCTGAATCCAAGGATTTCTTCATCCTAGGATTCCAAATCCAAGGATTCTGGATTTCAGGAATCCCTGAATCCAATAATTCATTGATCCAAAGATTCCTAAATCCAGGGATTCCTAAATCCAAGGATTTCAAATCCAAGGATTCTAGATTTCAGGAATTCCTGAATCCAAGGATTCCTGATTCAAAGGATTCCTTGATCCAAGGATTTGTGATTCCAAAGATTCCTGATTCCAGGAATTCCTGAATCCAGGAATTTGTTCGTCCCAGGATTCCAAATCCAAGGGTTCCTGAATCCAAGGGTTCTTGATTCCAGGAATTCCTGAATCCAGGGATTTCTTCATTCCCGAGAAAGCAGGGCAGAGCTTTTCCCAGGGAATTCCATCCCACATTTTGGGAATCTCACCCCAATCCCATTCCCAGAATTCCCCAGCCCAGCCCCAAACCCCTCTGGATTTTCCAGCCCAGAATTTCGGGAAGGGCCTGGAATATTCCAGGTTCCTGGATGGCCATTTTCCCTTTGGAATTCTGGAATCCCATGGAATTCCTGCTTGGATCCCTCTGGGATTGATTTCTGTGGGAATGCTGGGATGGAGGAGTGGGAAAAATCCATGGAATTGGAATCCATGGAATTCCTGAGGAAGGAGCCTGGCATGACCCCAATCCCAGGAAATTCCAGAGGGATGGAGGCTCCCAGGAATTCCAGGATCCAGGGAATTCTTGGAAGCTTTTCCAGAGGCTTGGGGGGGGGCTCCAGGAGAGCAGGAATTTGGGAAAAGGAGATTGGGAAAAAAGGAATTGGAGGGGGGGGAAAAAAAGGAAAATTGAGGAAAAGGGAATTTGGGAAAAAAAAGGGAATTCCTGGCTGGGCTGGAATTCCCAGAGAATCCCTGGGATGCCCCAGGAGGGATTTGGGATCAGGACTGGGATCAGGGATCCCGGATTTGGGGGGATTTTTTGGGAATGTCCCCTCTCACCCGTCGGGATCCCGGCTCCGTTTCCGGGGCGTCCCCGCGGCCGCTCCGCAGCTCCTGCAATTCCAGAGGGGGGAAAAAAGGAGAAAATTGGGAAGGGAAAGGGGGGAAAAGTGGGAATAAACCTTCCCATCCCAGAAACCCCATCCCAGGAATCCCACAAATCTCAAGCATTCCCGTTAAATTCCAGAAATCCCTCCTTTTTTTTTTTTTTCCCAGCCTTTTTAATCCCAGAAATTCCATTAATTCCCAGGAATTCCATTCCATCATCCCAGAAATCCCATTAATTCCATTCCAGAAATCCCATTAAATCCCATAAATCCCTTTTTTTTTTTTTGCCTTTGAAATCTCAAATCCCATTAATTCCTAGAAACCTCATAAATTCCCAGTAATTCCATAAATCCCATTTTTTTTAACCTTTCAAATCCCAGAAATCACATTAAATCCCAGAAACCTCACAAATATCCAGCAATCCCAGAAATCCCACAAAATCCCAGTAATTCCATAAATACATTTTTTTAACCTTTGAAATCCCAGAAATCTCATTAATTCCATCCCATAAATCCCATTTTTTAGCCTTTGAAATCCCATTTTTGGAGCTTTGGATTCTCAGAATTCCCAGAAATCCCATGAATTCCCAGCAATCCAAATAATTCCCAGGAATCCCAGAAATCCAATTTTTTAACCTTTTAAATCCCAGAAATGCCATTATTTCCATCCTAGAAATCCCATTAATTCCCATTAAATTCCCTTTTTTTGCCTTTGAAATCCCAGAATTCCCATTAATTCCCAGAAATCCCATTAATCCCATCTCATTAATTCCCAGAAATCCCATTTTTGGAACTTTTCCATTCCCAGAATTCCCACTCCATCCCAGGATTTTCCCACCCGTAGGAATTTTTCCCAAACCAAACCCTAAAAAAATTCCCAAACCCCAGAGGACAACCAACCACCACCAGCCAATAATTCATTAATTATTGGCAATTCATTAATTACCTCACTCATTAATTATTGGCAATTAACCCATCAGGAATCACTCACTAATTAATCCTGTGGGACCAGGGGGGTTCTGGGGGATCCCAAATTTTTGGGGGGATCACCAAAACCCTTTTGGGGTTTTTTTTTTTTTGTGTCCCAAATTTTTGGGGTCTCTCTGTGAGCCCCAAACCCTTTTTGGGGTTTTTATTTTTTTGGGTCCCAAAATATTTTTGTTTTTTTTTTTTTCTGGGCTCCCCAAGTCTTTGGGATCAAGATTTTGTGGGGTCCCCAAATCTTTGGGTGGGGTCCCCAAACCCTTTGGGGGGAATCTGTGGGGTCCTCGAGCTCCTGAGGGGTTTTTTGGGAGGTTCCCCAAATCTTTAGGGAGGGAATTCCAGGTTCCCAAACCCTTAGGGATGGAATTCTGGAGGATTCCCAAACTTTTTGGGAAGGAATTCTGGGGGGTCCTTTGGGGGGGTGTCCAACCCTCCCCCACCATCCCCTCAGGGCTCCCCAAACCCCAAAACTCTGCCTGGGGGATCCTGGCTCCCCTTCCCGGCCCCAAATTCCTGCCTGGAGACCCCTCAGAGCTCCCCCAAATCCCCTCAGAGCTCCCCCAAATCCCCTCAGAGCTCCCCCAGAGCCCCCTCAGAGCTCCCCCAGAGCCCCCTCAGAGCTCCCCAAACCCCAAAACTCTGCCTGGCTCCCCTTCCCGGCCCCAAATCCCTGCCTGGGCCCCCTCAGAGTTCCCCTAAATCCCTTCAGAGCCCCCTCACAGCTCCTCAAAGAACCTTCAGATCTCTCAGAGCCCCCTGAGAGCTCCTCAGATCCCTCAGAGCCTCCTCAGAGCTCCCTCAAAGCCCCCCGGATCCCCTCAGAGATCCCTCAGAGCTCCCTCAAAGTCCCCCGGATCTCCTCAGAGCCCCTCAGTGCCGCTCCCCCAGACCCCTCCGAGCTCCCCACAGCTCCCTCAGATTCTCTCAGAGCCCCCTCAGAGCTCCTCAGAGTTCCCTCCGAGCCTCTCAAATCCCCTGGGAGCCACTCAGAGCCCCCAGAGCTCCACACAGCTCCCCCAGAGCTCCCCCAGAGCTCCACACAGCTCCCCCAGAGCTCCCCCAGAGCTCCCTCAGAGCTCCACACAGCTCCCTCAGAGCTCCCTCAGAGCTCCACACAGCTCCCCCAGAGCTCCCCCAGAGCTCCCTCAGAGCTCCACACAGCTCCCTCAGAGCTCCCTCAGAGCTCCCCCAGAGCTCCCTCAGAGCTCCCTCAGAGCTTCCCTCAGATCCCCTCAGAGCTCCACACAGCTCCCCCAGAGCTCCCCCAGAGCTCCCCCAGAGCTCCCCCAGAGCTCCACACAGCTCCCTCAGAGCTCCCCCAGAGCTCCCTCAGAGCTCCCTCAGAGCTCCCTCAGAGCCCCTCAGAGCTCCACACAGCTCCCTCAGAGCTCCCTCAGAGCTCCCTCAGATCCCCTCAGAGCTCCACACAGCTCCCTCAGAGCTCCCTCAGAGCTCCCCCAGAGCTCCCCTCAGATCCCCTCAGAGCTCCACACAGCTCCCTCAGAGCTCCCCCAGAGCTCCCCCAAAGCTCCCTCAGAGCTCCACACAGCTCCCTCAGAGCTCCCTCAGAGCTCCCTCAGATCCCCTCAGAGCTCCTCAGAGCTCCCCCAGAGCTTCCCTCAGAGCTCCCTCAGATCCCCTCAGAGCTCCCCCAGAGCTTCCCTCAGAGCTCCACACAGCTCCCCCAGAGCTCCTCCAAATGCCCTCAAATCCCCCAAGGTCCCCCAGAGCCCCTCACAGCTCCCTCAGAGCCCCTCAGAGCTCCCTCAGATCCGTTCATTCAGGGTTTCCTCACGGCCCCTCAAAGCCCCCCGAGAACTCCACACATCGCCCTCAGAGCCCCCTCCGATCGCCCTAGAAAACCTCAGATCCCCTCAGAGCTCCTTACAGTTCCCTCAGAGCCCCCTGCCAGCTCCCCACATCCCCCAGAGCTCCCCCAAATCCCCTGAGCCCCTCAGAGCTCCCTCGGATCACCTCGAAACTCCCTCCGATCCCCTCAGAGCCTCTCAAATCCCCTCAAAGCCCCCTGAGAACTCTACACATCTCCCTCAGAGCTCCTTAAATCCCCTCAGAGCCCCCTGCGAGCTCCCCTAAATCCCCTCAGAGCCCTCTCAAAGCCCCCCAGATTCACCTCAGAGCTCCCTCAAATCTCCCCAGATCCCCTCCGAGCTCCCTCAGAACACATCAGATCTCCTTCAGAGCTCCTCGCAGTTCCCTCAGAGCCCCCTGAGAGTTCCTCACATCTCCCTCAGAGCTCCTCAGATCCCCTCAAGATCTCGGAGCCCCCTGCGAGCTCCTCAGAGCTCCCTCAAGATACCCCCAGAGCCCCCTCACATCTCCCTCAGAGCCTCTCAGATCCCACTCAAGATCCCTTCAGAGTTCCGCCACATCTCCCTCAGATCCGTTCACTCGGAGTTCCCTCAGAGCCCCTCACATCTCCCTCAGCCCCCTCAGAGCCCCCTCACCTGAGCGCCGCCTCCGCCATGGCTGCTTCCCGCCGTCAGCCGCGCGCCTTCGAACCGCCCGCGCTGCGCTTTTATTGGCTGAGCGCCACGTCAATCAACGCAACTCTCTTCCCATTGGTCGAGCAGCGCGCGGCTCCGCTTTGGACCCGCCCCTGCGGCCCTGCAGCCAATCAGCGAGAGCGCCTCTCCGCGCGGGCCCGCGGTTAGACTATAACTCCCAGCGTGCCTTGCGAGAACGGAGCGGCGCTCCGCCGTCCGGCGCGCGCGGGGGATGATGGGAGTTGTAGTCGCGCCGCCCCGGCGACCCCGGCGCGGGAGATCCTGAGGGGAGAGGCGGGAATGGGAGGAGTTGGGAGTTAATTAACGGGTAACGAGGCGCTAATTAAGCATTTTGGTGTTAATTAGGGCATGAGGGAGCTGCGCTGGGTGAGGACGCCTTCCACTATGGCAGGGTGCTCCGAGCCTGGCCTTAGGCACTGTCGTGGATAAGCGGCTAATGAGTGTTATAAATAACAAATAAATTATTGCTTTTTTCATTTATCTCTTAGTTTTTGCACGTTACTGTTAATCACAAAGATTTTAATATAATGCAAATTTGCACTTTTTTTTCGCTCTAGTATAGTCTGTCAGCTTATGTTTGTACCATATAGTTTACATAAATAAGTACGGCAAATATATTTGATATAGTTTGGCCATTAGCATAATGTTAAAACGGAATTTATGTGGTGATAAAATGCTTTTATTTGGTAACTAACTGAAATAACAATGTGAAATAGCTATGCTGGACTATCTTATCTGAATGATAACAGTGAAAAAAAAAAACACCTGGAGAAAAACGAAGAAAAAAAAAATTACTGGCAACAGAAAAAATAAATTCGAGAAGAAATGAAATATATTGATTTAATCCACAGGACGACATACAGACAAGTCAAAGCTTAAAACTAAGCAAGAAAAATCTAAATTCACAAAAATGTTTAAATTAATGTGTATAAACCCTTACGAATATGCCCTAAGCCATATAATGCAAAAGCGTTTAATAATATTATTTTTAAGATAACGCTGCGGTTTTGGCAGATAACCAAACACCTCAACCTGGATGTTGTCGCTTTTTATCCTTTATTCAACTTTTTAAAAGTCTAAAGAGTGAACTTGGCTTTTTCACAAGGGGAAAAAAAAACGGAAAAAGGTGAAAAGGAAAGAGAAGGAAGGGGGAAGAAGAGAAAAGAAAAAAAAAGGGAAAAGGGGAAAGAAAAAAGGGGGAAAAGCGGTGAGTGGATTTGAGGGAATTTTCCCCCATATTTATCCATCAAAAACCCAAAGGAATTCTCCGTTATGGAAATGGTTTGGTTCTCTGTTGTTAATTGATGCCTTGCCTGGGATGTTAATGAGGTTCTAATTGTTCCCGATTGTTCTAATGGCTCCTAATCGTCGTGGAACAAAGCCCGGGGTGAATTTGAATAAAACGTTTGGAAGTTTTCTCGTTCCCAACGCCTCAATTCTCCAAAATCGGAAAAGGTGGAGGGGGGGAGTTTCTGGTTTTTCCCGCAGTTTTAGTGGGAAAAGGAGAAAAAATGGGGAAAAGGGGAGGAAAGAGAGGAAAGGGATGGGGTGAAAAAAGGGAAAGGATCAAGGGAATGAGGGGAGAGAAGGAAAAGGGGGAAGGAAAAAAGGAAAGAGAAAAAAGGAGAAAGGAAAAGAAAAGAACAGAGAGAGGGAATGGGGAAAAGGGGAAAGGGAGACAGCAAAGGAAAGAGGAGAAAAGAAAAAAAAAAAAAAGAGGAAAGAAAAAGAAAAACGGGAAAGAAATCACCACTACACTGCGCATGCGCAGTTCTCTGTGCCTTAAGAGGCCACGGCCGCCCCGCGCATGCGCACTGGTATTTTCCGTACGGTATCATGGCTGCCGTGCATTCCCAGTTCCCTTTGCCGTACGGCATCATGGCCGCCCCCTCCACACCCACTTCTATTGACCGTACATTCCCAGTTCCCTTTGCCGTACGGCATCATGGCCGCCCCCATCACACGCAGTTCTATTGACTTTGCATTCCCAGTTCCCTTTGCCGTACGGCATCATGGCCGCCCCCTACACGAGCCGTTCCCGTTACCCGCAGCTCTTCTGCCGTTCCGCGCTGGTTAATGACGTCATCCCGCACGGCCCCGCGCATGCGCAGTGCCCGCCCTTCCCCTGCCGGCTGGGCCTTCCCTGAGGTGGAGGAGCCCCGCGGCGGGCCCGGGGTCGTCGGGAAAAGCGGGATAAAAGCGGGATAAAAGCGGGATAAAACTGGGCTAAAGCGGGATAAAACCGGGATAATCCCGGCTCAGCGCACCGCCATTATGGTGTTTTACTTCACCTCCAACGGTGAGAGCGCCGCGAGATTTCCGGTAGTGGCTCCTGAGGGAGGGAGGGGAGGGCCCGGGAATTCCCTGATCCAAGGGATTCCCTGGGAATTCTTTCCCAAATTTCCAAATTTTTTTTCCCAAATTCCCGCTGTCCCGGAGCCCCTCCAGCCTTTGGAAAAGGTTCTCAGGTCTCTCCCTTGGAATTGTCCAAATTCCCGGGATTTTGTCTCTTCCCGCTGTCAAATCCTGGATATTTCCCCTCAGGAATTTCCCATGCCTTGGAGTTTTTTTAATTTTTTTTCCCATTATTTTTTTTTTTTTTTTCCCTCTCTGAGCTCCTGAGCCGGAATTCCTGAGGGAGGAGAATTCCCATGGATCCCGGGCGCGGGAAAAACAAAATTCCCAGGAAAAGCAAACTCCGGGAATTTTTCTTTCTGCCGCCGCTTTTCCACAGGGAGGAGCTCCGGGAATTCCCTGGATTCCGTGCGGAGGAGAAAAACCGGGAATAATTCCTTAAATTTGGGGAATTTCGCCTTTAATTCTGAATTTTGGGTTTTCCAAGGGGACGGATTTTTATTTTTTTTTTTTCCCGGATTTTTCGTCTCAATCCTGGGATATTTTAAATTTAAATTCCCCTCGATTTCATTTTTTTCCATAAAAGATTTTTTGAGTTTTTTGTGCTGTTGAGTTTTGGGTTATTCCCCAAAAAAAAAAAAAAAAAA